TTGTGTGCATGCTGCAAAATAATCTTTGTTTCTTAAAAAAAAAACTAGCAGCAGATAGCTTTTCCATGCTCACTGAAAAATGTCCCCCTTATTAATTCTTGTTTCTCGATGAGCTGAATTAATTCTTGTTTCTAGTTTTGGGCCATAATTCTGTGTAGTTCAGACATCAAAAACCACGGTATAAAATGTATTTGTAGCTTAGAAGATTCTGATATAAGACTTCAGCATTTCTAAATTTGTATTTAGGGGATCAGGCTAGCATATTAATGAAGCAAGTAAACTGAAATAGGAACTTGGTGCCAAACTCATGGAAGATACAGGTAGAGCATTTTTCTTTTCTTTTTTCATTAGTGGTGAAGCTTTGTTCCAAAACAAGCAAGCAAGTTTTACGATGTAAATATTTAATGATGTCAGTTATCAAAAGCCAGCCCTAGTAGCAAGTGTTCCCTGCATGTAGCTGCTATTTGAAATCTATGGGGTTTGTTATGAGCTGGCTGCTTAATTCCAGTGTGCCTATCATCTGCGTATCTCACGACCAATTTTATGCAGATTGATAGTTCCAGATGTGTTGGGCTGGAGTTCCCATAATTCCAACCTCTGGAGCAAGTGAAAAGTTGGGAAAGCTTTGGGTAACCAGATAGACTTTGTTGTAATCAGTGACGGTATCTGACCTTGAGCTATTCTAATTGTAACCTCTTTCTATCCTGCAAATTAGGGGGCACGATCAGGCATTCTGATTTACAGTGGATCCAGTAGAATTTTTCTGCAAGCAGAAGAGGGATCAATGGATGCTATCACAGAGGAACTCAAATAGCATTATTTCCAAAAGAAAACAAAATTAGACCTGTTTATACGTGGAATATAGCTCATGTCTACAGGTTGTAATTTAGAATCAAAACTATAGAAACGTGAGTCAAAAGGCCCCATTGGATAGCTACAAAGATTTTAGAATATAGCTTCTCTGTTCTAATTAAGGTGCTCTAATTAATTGGACATTGCCAGGATTAATAATTTGTGAAGTGCTATTTAATCATCGTATTTCATTTTCCATTGGTATATAGAGGTTCTCCTGAACAATTAACTCAAGAGGCAACAGGGAAGGTGTCTTAGTCCGTCCCTAAAGTAGTTGAGTAATTTGAAGTTCATACAATGGATTAAGACAGAGATGGGCAACCATGGTCCTTTTATGCCTTGTAAACATGGCTGCTTCAAGAATTCTGGGAGTTGAAGTCCACAGGTCATAATGGGGCCATAATTGTCCACCTTTGGATTAAGATATACCAAGTGTGCATTAGTTACTTCCAAAATCTTTATTTCTTGCCTTTGTTATGTCTTCTTAGAGATATTACTTAGATTCTCAAAATATTACTAGTTTTACTAGTTTTGATTGAATGATTACTTGCCATCAAGTTGATATTGACTCTTGCAGATCACATAGATTTCCTCCATGATATCTGTCCCTAACTGGTCCTTCAGGTCTTCTACCAATGCACTCATTGCTAGTTACTGTTTATCCTCTTCTTTTTCCTTTCCCCTTTCGAGCATTAAAACCTTTTCAGAGAGCTAGGTCTTTGTATAATGTCTAAAACAGGATGGGTTTAGCTTCAAATTACTTGGGTGATGAAAAAAAAAATAAGATGCTTCCCCAATCTTTATTTTGTTACATTCTTATACAAAAATGAAGAGGCATCTTTAAAAAAATCCAAAACAAAACTATAAACCAATGCACCAGAGTCATTAAATATGGTTATACTGCAAAATTGAAATACTAAATCAAAAAGCTTCCACTTTAATTTTTTTATCTTTCTAATGCTCTGTATACGGTAGTACTTAAATTTTGAGATATGCGGAATAAGAATTGAAAAATAAAAAAATAATTTGTTTTACCTGGTGAGTAGGAGTTGCATATCCAAACTCTTATATGGCTGTAGCTGGGAACAGTTAATTTAAGCATAGTATTGGCTGCAGCTCTTTTGAGGGCCTTAACTAAATAGTTTATCCTACCTCTCTGCCATTATAACTGAGTCCTAGAGCCCGAAATGAGATTATTGAAAACCTATTGTATTTTTTCACTCCCTTTGTTGATTACGTTCTGATTTTCCATCAGGATTTTTTGGGGGTGACAGAACAATCTTCCTGTCACAGCCGCAATATTTTTAAACTATTAGCAATAGCATCTTTTTGTGATTTATTTTTAATTTCTTGAAGGAATATCAATGTCAGCCACCCTGAAGTTTCTGTTGTATATGCCAGGGCTAGAACAAATATCACATGAAGCAATTTTGCAATAGAGGCAACTTCAAAAATAAAACCAGAGCTCTTCTGAATCATTAAAATGTAAAAATCAATTAGTTTGAACCGTTTGGAAAGTTCTTGCTGATGCATTTGTGCATACAAGTTGCCATTATTTAATAGCTGATTTGGGCATGAGATTAACCCAATTAAAACTGAAGGTCTTTTAGAAATAAATAACCCTATTCCCAATACCTATTGATATTCTTTATCTGCACACCCCCATCCATCACTATTGAAAACTATCAAACAATGTTGACTCTTCATAAGATCCATCACTTTTTATAAGTGTTAAATCAGTGGTTCTCAACCTGTGGGTCCGGATCCCTTTGGGGGTCAAATGACCCTTTCACAGGGGTCGCCTAAGACCATCGGAAAAGACATATTTTCAACCCTCAACCAATTTTATGGTTGGGGGTCACCCAGTGGTGGGTTTCAAAAAATTTAGAACCTCTTCTGTAGGTGTGGCCTGCTTTGTGGGAGTGGCTTGCTGGCCATGTGACTGGGTGAGAGTGGCTTGCCAGCCATGTGACTGGGTGGGCATGGCCAACTTGTAAAATGTGGTGAAACTCACTTAACAACGCTCTTGTTTAGCAACCAAAATGTTGGCTCAGAAACTCTGGCATTTGAAGCACACAAGTCTTAAAGCTGTCAAGTTACAAGACCCTTGCACCCCTAACCTTTTAGAAAAAAGAAGCCCAGGGGTGTTCAAAATTGATAGCTTTAAGACTTGTGGACGTCAACTCCCAGAATTCCTCCTCTCGCTCTTCATCTTGATGATGTGTGGATGGGCGGGGGGGGGGGAACTGGAACCAGTTCTAAACGGCACTGTAGATTTGTGGAACCTCTTCTATAGAAGAGGTTAGAACTGGCACCCATGGGGTCACCACAACATGAAGAACTATATTAAAGGTCGCGACATTGGGAAGGTTGAGAACCACTGTGTTAAATTGAAGTAGGACTAGAAGGATTGGGGGACATTGCCCATAACTAGACATCTTGGAAATATGTTAGACCTGTTAATATTTGGAGTATTGGTCATGTCTTAGGCTGTAATTGAGAATCAAAACTATAGAAACTTGAGTCAAAATGAGTAGTGTCAAGCAACAATGGAGTGTTGCCACTCATCTGTGAAGCCTACTTACTTGAGAATAAACCCCACTGAATTCAGTAGACCTAACCTTTAGGACATACGCCTAGGATTGCACTGCCAGCACACTAATATCAGTATTAGAAAGAGGAATGACTGAAACATACTTCCTATTCTAGTGTTGTTTCTTGTTCAGAACACTGAAGCATATGAGAAGCGTTCCAATTTTTTTATAGACTGGAATAAATGGTTTAATTGTGTTATGGAGATACAGCATTGCTGTGAAAAATAATCATGGTAAAAACACATGTAAATGGAACCGGCAAATGTATTCATTTGCATTCTGTTGAAAGCTGTTTTTAATGTCTGAGGAAGAGAACATTCATTGTTAACAGGAAAATAGCTGTAAACAATTACAGTGTACAAATTATATTCATTCAAGTGTTTAAAAAGGCCACATTTGGCTAGTCACCTACTCAATGAAGGGCAAAAATATGTATGCTGTGCAAAAGGCTACTCGGAATTAGTGGCATCATTCAAATATTTACAGTATAAACATTTATAGTCTTCCCCTTGGAGAAAAAGGTCTTGCTTAACAAGAAAACAGGCTGAGTTAATAGATTGACCTAGGATGTAGTATCTCTGTTGAAACAAAATGGTCATACCTATATCATATGTAGACAATATTTCAAAACTCCACTTGTTTACAAACTCAGAATATTAAATCAGGCATGGTAAAAAAAAGAAAAAAAGAAAGAAATACGCTTAATGCTACTGATTTTGATTGCACAAATGAAAAAAGTTCATCAGCAAATTCTTTGAATTTCCCATTGGTGCCATGGCATAATGCCAAAGGCTATGTTGACCCATAGGAATGTTTTTGTAGAAAGAGTAGGTACAGAGGATTGGAGGAGGAGGAGGAGGAGGAGGAGGAGGAACAACCAGGAAGCTTCTACTGGCTAATACTGCAGAATATTCACTGAATTTGACCTGCTAAATACCATTAAATGATTATTCAACATTATAATATTATAATGTATAAATAATATACATCATTAAACAATTAAATGATTGTTTAATGAAACATGGTTGCCCTGCAGTCCAAGGGATGGGAACCTGTGACTATCAGTTTAACTCCCAGAATCTTTGATCAGTGGCCAAATGTAGCTGAGATTTGTACCTCAGCAATATCCAAAGAGTTAGATCAGGGCTGTCAAACTCCCGGCCACGTGCTGGCCCTGTTTAGTGAAGGGGGAGGAAAGTCCCGATATGTCATGGTGGTGATATGTCATGTGATGCCGCTGTGATGACATGAGTTTGACACCCCTGAGTTACATGTTCCTCTTCTTTTAAGGAGCCTATACAGCAAATATTGGTTATCTAATGTCCTTCCACTCTTAGGTTCTGGATTCCAACTCTTATTATGGCCTACAGCAAGAAAACATAGGAATTACAATCCAGAACAGCTGATGTATACTATGTTGCTTATCCTTAAAACAGTGTTTCTCAACCTTGGCGACTTTAAGTTCTGTGGACTTCAACTCCCAGAATCCCCCAGCCAGCACAGCTGGCTGGGGGATTCTGGGAGTTGAAGTCCACAGGACTTAAAGTCGCCAAGGTTGAGAAACACTGCCTTAAAATGACATAGCAGGCAATCAGTATTATAATTTATTGAAATTTATCTTAGATCTACATTTATTTTAAAGCAGTGCACACTAAACTTTTTCTACCCTAACTTATGACCAGTTCTTAATTAGGAGGGGAAAAAAATCCTCTTGCTTTAGATTTATGGCTGCATAGAGCCTAATAAAGTGTGTGAAATAAAGTCAGAGTGGTTTTTACTTAAAAATTTACATCTTGCAAAATGTAAGAGCACCTACGTGAAAATTAATAGAAAGACTCTTAAGATGGCTGATTTACTGTAACTTTGCTTTTATTTTTTTACCGGGACAATGGGAAATGTCAATTTGTAGTTGATGGGAAGGAAAAAGGAAAACTTTTAGTTGTGAAAGTGGTAAATTAAAACAATAGATTTGTGCAGTATTTTTGAATATCATACAGGAAATATATTATTTTGACAATGTGTGGTTTAGGGAAAAGTTTGCCATTGTTCAATGTTTTAATCCGTGCTAACAAAGATGCATATTTTTGTAGAGAATATAATATGTATGCTATTCTCCGAACAAAAGCTTCTCTATATTGTAGAAATTAACTATCAATATTTATCGGAACTTCAAAAGCTTCTAAGCCAAACAGGTTAGGAACAGCAACACTGCAAGCAGTGTGGACAAACTAATTATAGATGGCACAACTATATTTTCAGTTTAATTGATCTCCAAAGGCACAATCCAGTCTGTCACAAGAGCTTTGGGTCCATGGGAAATGATTCAGCACAGGCCCCACAAAACCTCCACGTGATTTCTTACCTTCATTTCCAGGCACATAAAGATATTTGCACAGAATCCAATTAAGACAGTTAAACAAGCATGAATTCTTCCCCCTCACACCTTCCTCTTTTCTCTGCTTCAGCTAATAAAGGAATAGGAATGTGGTGGTGATTTATTACTGCTTGTGCTAGCGTATCCTCGGTTAACTGGTTTTTTTCTAAGAGTAATGGGAGTTGGCTTAATCTTGAGGCTGGTTCAGATGTACAGCAAGCTCCTTCCCAGTTAGGAATAAGAGAGTGCTCATTCCACTGGCTGGCTTGGTCTCTCAAACTGGCAGGACTTATTCTTCTTGTTGTTCTTCATCCCTAACTGAAGCCGTCTTCCTTGAGAAGATACATCTCTTTGTGGCTGCTTCTCTTTTTTAGTGGTCTTCCCGGGGCTCTACCCAGGAACACATCAGAAGCCAATGAAGCCCAAACTCTTCTGGAACCAGCATTCCTTCAGCAATGGAAACTGCCTAAAATCCATTTCAGTGTCCAATCATCATTTTTTTTTTCTTCTTCCCCCAAACTCTCCTCAACTTTCACTCTCTTACTTTTCGTATTCAAATTCAAACCTGTATTGTTGAGTACAACATGTGTACAATGAGATTGGCTGAGCCTCCCTTCCTGCACACACACCCAACACAGAGTTGAGGAGTTGACCATATCAACCCACCCTGCCTAAAAAAGTTTTGCCTGCAAGAAAAGTTTATTCTCTGCTCTTCTCCCAAACTGCTTTGTTATAGATGAATAGCTTCCTTGTCTTCAAGCTCAGGTGACAGGGTAGCGCACAGTGTTTAATTGCTGCATGTTGTCACTCAATCATGAAGTAAAGTGAAGTACTTGTAGATCACTCTGCTAGGCACATATTCCTAAAGTTCAGATCTCTGGAGTTTACTCCTAAGTAAGGAATATAGGATTGCAGTAAGTGAGTCATGCATAATGTTAATCCATCCTCTTAAAGACAATGGGGTGAAAATTAATTGAACATTAAAGTATTCAGGTTTCGTGTATAATCATTTATAAGCGTAGAATAGAAATATGTTCATAGTGGTTGAAGAACCATTCTACTGTAGTCTCATGCAAGCTAGGTCATATAAAAAGTGCATACTTTAAGATGAATATACAGTGATGCATACGGCTGTCATTATTTATTTGTCTTCCTTGATGATGGTTCACGGATGCACATACCAGTGTATCTACCATGTACTTTCTGCTTTGCCCCATGTTATCGTAATAGAATCTAAGACAAAAATACATGGTTCTGCAGCTTCCTCTGTGAAGCCGCTTATCTGCATTGTAATTCTGAAAAGAAAGTTGAGTTTTGTATCTTGGTTTTGCTCTCGCAAAGGCTAGCAAAGAATTCATGATCCTGCGGCATTTTTGTGAACATCGGTCTTGAATTTGTTGTTACTTGCAATTTATGTCAGATCCCCAGGGTCAGAAGTTCAGTTCAGCTCTGAAGAGGACTGAATAGGATATTCCCCAGGTCACGTCAGTTCAGAGGAAGCCATCCCACTCTTGTGCGGTCTTGGCTTGAGTTGAAAGTACATTAAAAGTTGGCTCAGCTTTAGAAGATAATACTCCCATGACCTCTGCAGTTTCCCAGTTATGCTGGAGGCTAAGGAGTCAAAAAAGGTTACAGGCTATTGAAGTTTAGAGAGAACAGGAAGCAGGGATGGAGTGGGTTAGTAACTACCTCTTAACTTGGCCAGTGTTTTTAAGCTTACAGAAAGATGCTGGGATCACAGCTCTTTTAGGGAAAGAGTTAACTCAACCTGTAGTTTCTTGCAGTAAACAATCTTAGATCTTGACAGGTCTTGTTCAAGCCAAGACCAAAAATGTTTGGAGGAAACAGTACCCTTAACCGCTAGCTTGAAGATTTTTTTTTAAGAAATAGGGGGGAAAAACCTATAAAAGTGCATGCAAAAGTTGAGGCAACTCTGGTTAAATTGTATATTTCAGTGAATCCTGAACTGTACAGAGGCTGACAAAACCTTTCCACGATGCAAAGTTAAACACAACACTTCCTTTTCAAATTTGAACCAGAGATGGATTGCTCCCGGTTCGGCCTGGATTAGATGAACCGGTAGTAGTGGCAGCGGGAGGCTCCGCCCACCCACCCAGATGCTTCTGCACATGTGCAGAAGCGTCACAAGTGCACCCAAACTGATAGTAAAAAAATTGGCAACCCACCACTGATTTGAACACATGCTACTATTTATACACAACTTGTATAGATTCAGTAACAAAACAATGAGCATGGCAGGGAGAAAAGTTGGATCCCCCTTTCTCTATATACTTTGTAGTTTCTTCTCTAGCAGAAACAGCAGTTCCCAAACATTTTCTGTTGCAAAGATAATAGACATATTTCTCTTCTTGCTATTCTGTTCTGTTCTGTTCTTTGCAGAAGGCATCTAGTTCTAGATTCTCTTGTAGGCACTATTTGTATCAGATCTGCCCAGAAATGTCTGATAATATTCAAACCTTAGAGTGGCAAAAGCCATTCCGCAACATCTATTTTCTTGAAGAACTTCATGTTGATTTGGAGACCTGGTTTGGATCTTTACCTTATTAAATCTCTAAGCTTTTTTCAGCCTCAATGAAAAGATAAAATCTGACCAGAAGTGCCTAAAATTCTTCATGCAGCTGTATATGTATTCCACCTTGGTGAGTTATCAATTCTTCAACCACAGAACCTTCCGCTTCAAAGGAATTGATTTGTGCAGTAAATGGGGTCTGTGGGTGTGGGATGAAATGTGGAGTTCCACATTTTTCAGATAGGATGTGTATGCATCATATAAAAGTATTTAGGATTGATGCAAATGTAAAAAAATGAAACCAAAATTATTCAGTTAATTGATTTTCTGCAGTTGACTACTTTAATATGGTTGGTTTGGCATGCCAAAAACTACTGTTGTTACTTTAATTTAAGCTTGATAGACCTGACTAGGCTCATGTTCATTAGCCCAACATTTCATTAAAAAGTGTCCAGTTTTACATTTCTCAGATCCGTTTTTTGCAGCCATTTAATTTTCCCAGCTACCAATAAATCTGTCTGCAGTAACTTGTTAGGAAAGCTACTGACCAGAATTGTTCAAAAGCAACTTTAGCTCATGCCAGGTTTCCCTGTAGCAGTGGTATTCCATATTATCCAGTTGTTTTCATAGGAATAACTTAAATCTTAAATACAAAGTGAAGGTTATTTCTAAGGGGAATTCTGGCTTTTCTCCACAGTCGGAACAATTAATAGTTCAGGCCTAAACAAGACATTTTGCTCTGCCATTTTTTAAAAAAAACTCAAATACTGTTATCACTTTAATTATTGTTTCTGGGATTATAACTACAGTCCCAATTCATTCATGTGCCTCTTTCCCTCAGAAAAGTAAAAAGTAAGTTGAAATAGTAAAGAGCACCCTCAGATGTGTAGCAGGAGAAAGTTTACCAGTGTTTGTGATTGCCTAGATCTATTTCAGTACTCATTTCTGAATACACAGCACTTTCCATTTAAAGTCATGTTTTCAGAATTGCAGTGTGTCTGTTTGCCCAGAACAGTTGTTGTCTTCCAATAAAGTGGTCTTTATTGGAAGACTTTTTTTTTGTCCATTTGTGAACTATGTGAAAGACAGCAGGGCTATTGAACTCAAGGTCAAATCTGAAACACCTCTGGCCTTTTAATCATGGAGGTGAGTTTGCGAAAACTTCAAGATGCTTTCTGTTTAGATCACTTTCAAGGATCCACTTTTTAAAATGTGTGTACACAGTTGAGTTGCAAAGGGTATGCAACGCATAGAACGGTTAATCCACCCATCAGTGTTCCATACAAGCCAATGCTTGGTGCACGTATGGTGTATTATGTTACATTTGCACCAACCTGAATATATGAACATGTATGCTAGGAATTCATAATGTTATTTTAATGTTTAGTGGGAATCTCCAAGTGTTCACTAAAACCCTAATTTGAAATAATGACTTCAACCTACCCAAATCCCATGTTTTGGTCATAATGAAGAACAAAAGGAGGGGCTTGTGAAACCTCAAAAATTCTTGATATTTGTAGAAGGTTTCTTTTGTACGTATTCTACATCTGTCTCTAAGAGACAATTTGAAACACAGTCAAATGAAATGTAAATACGTTAACATTCGCTGTTAGTGTAACCTAAAGGTGACCATACACAGTCACTTCTAGATGTAGACAGTTATGGTATCTTTGGTGTGTGCATTAGACAATATAGGTTTTCCTTTTTTTAGATGTGTGAAGAATATATGTTTCATGCAATTGAGATTCTGTCTTAATGTCTACAGGAAATGTAAACTACTGAGAAAAAAAGGAAAAAATAAATAAAAGCCTTGACTGTATGGTTAAAATTAAAAAAAAATAAACGCTTCAAAAGAAGCATATTTAAATAAACAAGTCTAATTTTTATTTTGTGTGTTGGACTCATTTTAAACCAGTATAATAGCTGACTTTCTCCCCCCAAAAAATTAACATGTTTTTGTCTTGCATATATCAAATATTCCCTCCTTTTTTGTATTCTGTGTTTAGCTGAAGAACAGGTTGAAAAAGAGACATTTCCTCCTTGTGTTGGCAAAATTCGATTGTTCTGTCGATTTTGGAAGTGAAATGGAGCATAGAAAGCCCACTTAATTAGGGTTTATATCCTATCAACCTATCTGTGTTTTAATAAAGATTCCAGGCAGACTTTGAGCAGCTGCCATTTTAGGGCACACAAAGCCAAACTTTATAATGAAGTTTAAAAGGTTTGGTTTGTTCAGCTCCCAAATCGTAAGGCCAGGATGACGTCGTCCAAGTCAGATTTCAGGATGACATTGCAAACCTTGGTTAAACAGCAGCAATAAAGGGAAGTATAAGACGGCTCAGTGCTTGTGTTCATTAATCAAGCTTTTTGGATTAGTGTATTATATGAACACAGCCTTACATAATGCTGAAGTATATAATTTCTAACAATAACCGCCTGGAGGAAGATAAGGAAGAATTTGGAGAGAGCAAATTATGTATTTCTTTGAGGCTTCCAAGAGCCGTGAGTATGCTAGGGCAAATAAAAAGAGTAAATGTATTTTTAAGTCCCCTCTTCCTCTTCCATCATAGCATCATCGTCGTTACATATATTTATATCACTATTCACATTTATCTTCCACATGTATATTCAAGCATTCAAACCAAAGCACAAACTGTAAACCACA